AAAGAGAAGAAAAAAGAAAAAAGATGAAGCCTTGTACATTCTGATTCTAGTCTTTTAATTTAGTTTACCAACAGAATTATTGTTGGTGATTCTGTTTATAAAATCAAATGGAAAATTTTAACTTGCATAGAAATTTTCATAAAACCCTCGTAATATTACCAATGACTTTTATTTTGTCGGTGATAACGTTTGGAAAAAAATAAACATTAAAAAAACACATTAATTATTCATGCATTGAGAAGTGAAAAGTTCTCATAGTCACTGGAATATATCAATAGACACATTATATTAGTATATCTATATGTAACGAACATCATGAATAGTCTTAAGAAGAAGGGAAACAATTCTTGTAGTCACAAAAATATATCGACGGACACATTCCGTTAGTATTCCCATATGTAATGTATAATCTATCAATATTTCTATCAGTGTAAATAGTATCTAATGCCAAATTGTCTCTGTATTCTTATCTATCCATCCTTTAAATAATTAAATTTAAAATTGCATACATAACACAATAATACTAGGTCACATCACAATAATATAACAAACATTTCCTTATCATTCAATAATAAATTAACATTAATATCATTATAATGAAGTGAATTTTATTCATAAATATTGCATTATATTTTATGGCATTACACATTCATGTTATGCAACTGAATCAAAATTATCTTCTTCTTCATCAATTAACTCGTCATCATCTTCATCGTAATTTTTACGTTGATTTCGTTACTATCATCTTCATTAACTTTTGTGTATGTCTACTGGAGCTCAACACATCATTCAACTCATCAGTATCAATATCAACAAAACTTTCTTGGTAATGCAAAAATTTGAATTTTTTTTATAAGTCATTAGAAAAAGAAACTCGATATAGATTAACTAACTCATCAAGTTAAAAAACATCATCTCCTATAGTTAATTCATCATTGTCATCCTAAACAACTTTAACGTAACCCCTAGGTTTAGTTTTCATTACTGATAACCAATCAACTCTTAAATAATCATTTCTAAAGGAATAAATGTATGTGATAAACTTGCTAGTATTGTTTGGAAAAAATAAAGACATTGTCAATGTTGAGAAGTTTAGTCTTTGAATTAATTTCGACCAAACCATGATAAAGATTTAATCGAATTTCTTTGTCAATGGAGTCATACCAATAATATTTGAATAAAAATACTCTATTATACTCACTATGATATTGCAATTCAATAACGTTGTTCAATTTCTAATAGTAATCAACTTCAAATTTATTAGAAATCGATCTCTTAAAATAAACTCTACTATTATATGTTTTTCTACTTTGCTTATATTATTTAGTATGAAATATATGTCCATTGATAAAATACCTATTGTAGCACTTTACATTTCTTTCAAGACCCAATTTAGTAAAGACAAAGTAACATTAGTATTCCCTCTAAATTGATAAACCTAGTATATGATGTACAACCATGGATAGTTAACAAGAAATGTGTAATGAAATTAAATATCCCAAGAGATATGAATAATTAAACAATATTTTCATATATTCTGAACCACGTGAAAATTTATTTATCTTGTAATCAAAAGATTTGAGATTCAGTCAACTATGAGTTTTGGAATAGTAAATATTGATAATATTGCCTCTGAGAAATTTAACAATGTATCAGTTTACGATATTATAAGAAATAAATTGTTCAAAAATAACAACATGTGATTGTCTAAATTCTATTTCTGACAAATATCTTCCTTTTGCAATTTTTTTGGTACGAGTCATCCAAGATAGTACAAAATTGACAAGTTCCCACATGAAGTCACTTCTCCGTCACCGTTATGTCTTAGAACATGATTAATTCTTGCTTTCAATTGAAGCTCAAAATAGTACAAGATCAATATTAAGGTCTCTTCAACAATATAAGTCTTGCATATCGAAGCCTTAATATGCGTCTTATTTTTAATTTTTTTTTAAATCTTATACATTTAATTGAAATTGAACAATAGAATTTATAAAAAAACTAAAATTCAAAAAAAAATGCAAAACTTATTGCAATAACAACTAAAATTCAACATAATTATTTCTAAGTGACAATATCTTTAATCCTAAATTTACAAAAATTTATTCTAAATGTAATAAATACAAAATATTAATTATAATTAATCCTACACATTTAATTGAAATTGAACAACAAAATTGAAAAAAAAAACTAAAATTCAACAAAATAATGCAAAAACTAGTTCAATAACAACTAAAATTCAACACATTTATTAAATCATAAAACTATTAATAACTCAAAATTGAAAAAAAATAATGAGAAAAAAATATCCAAAAAAAAACACAAAAAAGAAAGAAAAGAAAATGAAAAATTCTTACCTTAATGACATGCTTAATTTCAGCTAATAATTAAATAAAACAAAAAAAAAAGATATTGTTAAAAGAAAGAGAAGAGAAGATAATACTTGATTTTGGTTGAGAAGGAGAGAGAAAAGAGAAAAGAAAAGGAGAGAAACAAATTTGTGAAAAAAAAAGAAGAAAAAAGAAAAAAGATGAAGTCCCGTACATTCTGATTCTAATCTTTTAATTTAGTTTACCAACAGAATTATTGTTGGTGATTCTGTTTATAAAGTCAAAAGAAAAATTTTAACTTGCATGGAAATTTTCATAAAACCCCCATAATATTACCAATGACTTTTTTATTTTATTGGTGATAACGTTTGAAAAAAGTGAACATTAAAAAAACACATTAATTATTCATGCATTCAGAAGTGAAAAGTTCTCATAGTCACTGGAATACACCGATATACAAATTATATTAGTATATCTATATGTAATGAACATCATGAATAGTCTCAAGAAGAAGGGAAACAATTCTTGTAGTCACAGAAATATATCGATGGACACATTCTGTTAGTATACCCATATGTAATGTATAGTCTATCAATATTTCTATCAGTGTAAATAGTGTCTAATGCCAAATTGTCTCTGTATTCCTATCTATCCATCCTTTAAATAATTAAATTCAAAATTGCATACATAACACAATAACACTAGGTCACATCACAATAATATAACAAACATTTCCTTATCATTCAATAATAAATTAACATTAATATCATTATAATGAAGTGAATTTTATTCATAAATATTGCATTATATTTTATGGCATTACACATTCATGTTGTGCAACTTAATCAAAATTATCTTCTTCTTCATCAATTAACTCGTCCTCATCTTCATCGTAATTTTTACGTTGATTTCGTCACTATCATCTTCATTAACTTGTGTATGGCTACTGAAGCTCAGCACATCATTCAACTCATCAGTGTCAATATCAACAAAACTTTTCTTGGTAATGCAAAAATTTGAATTTTTTTATAAGTCATTAGAAAAAGAAACTCGATATAGATTAACTAACTCATCAAATTGAAAAACATCATCTCCTATAGTTAATTCATCGGTGCCATCCTAAACAACTTTCACGTAACTCCTGGGTTTATTTTTCACTATTGATAACCAATCAACTCTTAAATGATCATTTCTAAAGGAATAAATGTATGTGTAATAAACTTGCTAGTATTGCTTGAAAAAAACAAAGACATTGTCAATGTTGAGAAGTTTAGTCTTTGAATTAATTTCGACTAAACCATGATAAAGATTTAATCTAATTTCTCTGTCAATGGAGTCATACCAATAATATTTAAATAAAAATACTGATATTGCAATTCAATGACGTTCTCCAACTTCTAATAGTAATCAACTTTAAACTTATTAGAAATCGATCTCTTAAAATAAACTCTACTATTATATGTTTTTCTACTTTGCTCATATTATTTAGTATGAAATATATGTCCATTGATAAAATACCTATTGTAGCACTTTACATTTCTTTCAAGACCCAATTTAGTAAAGACAAAGTAACATTAGTATTCCCTCTAAATTGATAAACCTAGTATATGATGTACAACCATGGATAGTTAACAAGAAATGTGTAATGAAATTAAATATCCCAAGAGATATGAATAATTAAACAATATTTTCATGTGTTCTGAACCATGCGTAAAATTATTTATCTTATAATCAAAAGATTTGAGATTCAGTCAACTATGAGTTTTGGAACAATAAATATTGATAATATTGCCTCTGAAAAATTTAACAATGTATCAGTTTATGATATTATAAGAGATAAATTGTTCAAAAATAACAACATGTGATTGTCTAAATTCTATTTCTAACAAATATCTTTCTTTTGCAATTTTTTTAGTGCGGGTCATCCAAGATAGTACAAAATTGACAAGTTCCCACATGAAGGCACTTCTCCATCACCTTTATGTCTTGGAACATGATTAATTCATGCTTTCAATTAAAGCTCAAAATAGTACAAAATCAATATTAAGGTCTCTTCAACAATATAGGCCTTACATATCGAAACCTTAACATGCGTCTTATTTTTAATTTTTTTTTTAAGGTTGAATAAGTACCTATATAGAATTAAATGAATGTTTTGATATATACAAATAAAGACAATAAAATTTTAATTACGATGCATGCGTGATTCCTAACATCTTGAATAGATACATTCATCTATATTGGATTAAACCTTCAACATTTGTCTCAAAAGATAAATTTATTAGTACATATTCTATTAAATAAAAAAATAATAGAGATAATATCATTTTAAGTTTGTATATTATCAATTTACAGGTAAAATGATTATTTAGTTATTTAGTTATTTTTTATTTTTTAAAATAATTAGAAAACATGAAATGTTAAAAATAACACACACACACACACACATATATATATATATATATATATATATATGTGTGTGTGTGTGTGTGTT